AATAATTTTGACTAGCTAGCTAGGCTAGTCCTCTTTTCTTAGGCCTACTCAATTTGAAGTGAAACATTGCTGTACGAATTCATGTTTTATTCATTCTAGTGAATCAAGTAAAAAAAAGAATCGCATCTCTGCGCACGCAATATGCACGCTCCCGCAGAATCCCAAGCAGTGGAAGTGCACGACCAAAAAAGACGAAGAAGACTCAATGGATAGAAGACCGCCTTCAATTTTTAAGCCCATATGTATCCAACAGAGTGTCTATTTCTAATTTGCAGGTACAATACAACACTAGCTAGTTGAGTTCATTATTTTTTGTTGCAACCATACTATCTTGCCATGATACTGATCCAGATGTTGAGCAAAAATATTGTTTCAAAAGCTCACGCTGACCCTTAGCACTTAATGAACAGTTTCTGTTTTTTGTCTTCTGTAACTCAGTTAGAGATTTGTCTAATCTCCAGCTGCCTTGAAAAAGCTCATGGTTGTCTCTTTCACTGTCACATGCATTTTTATATGAAGGCTGCTCATCAATCAGCATGTTGTGCAGACAACAAATTGCCAGCACAATTTGCTTAGCCTTTTCAGGCTCCAACATAATCTTTGTCAGCATCACCCTGAACCTATTAGCCATGATACCAAAAGCGTTTTCGACAACCCGTCGTGCTCTAGAAAGCCTGTAGTTGAAAATGTGCTGTTCATGTAACAGTTGTCTAAATGGGAATGGTTTCATGATATCATTTCTCAAGGGAAATGCATCATCACCAATGATATGATAATGACATTTGATGCATGTTTCCCCAAATTGCTCAGCTTCTGGAAAGGCAATTGATTTGTCTTTCATCTGTTGATTTAGAGGCGATGTTTCAAAAAGTCCAGCATCACCATTTCTTCCACTTGCACCAACATCAACAAATATCAACTTGTAGTCATAACTTGCCAATGCTAGAAGGACTATGCTGAAATATCCCTTGTAGTTGAAGTACTCTGATCCAGACATTTTTGGTTGTTTGATTGCAATGTGTTTGCCATCTAATGCACCAACACAAAAAGGATAGTCCCATAAATTGTAGAAACCATCACTGATTGTTTTCCATTGATGAGATGTGCTTGGAATCTAAAATACAAAAATATTAAATTTTAGTCTTCAACTGAAAGTTTATCTGAGCCACAGCTTAACACTGGTGACAGTGACTGTGATGGAGACTTGGACGACAATGATGCCCCTGCTGCAGAGACACCAGTTTCAACAAGCAGGCCACTGGCTGCTGTTAAAAAATCCAAAACTGCAAAGCAGAAAAAGGAAGAGGAAGAACTCTCCATTCTGAAGTCTCTTGCATCATCTTTCTCTGCAGATGAAAATTTAGCTGCAAAAAAGGATGCAAAGCCAAGCCCTTCAGCTGCCTTTGGGGAATACGTTACACATGCTTTGTCTGTGATGGATGAGAAAACAAGACTTGTTGCAATGAACAACATTCAAAATGCTCTTTTTCAGGCACAGATGGGCTCTTTCTCGAATGAATTCAACAACCCATATCATGCTGGTCAACATGCTAGAATGCAGTCTTTCAGGCAGTCACTTGACCAGCAAGATATGAGTGAAGGGCCATCGTACGGACAATTCTAATCTTTAAAATTCATACAGTATATTGCTTTCACTGCACTCTTCAATGTTATGTGAGTTGGTTTTAATTAGCACATTAAATATTGTATTGAAAACCAAAAAGTAGAAAACAAAAAATGTTATGTACCTGAAGATATCTATCCTTAAGATTCTGATAAATTGCATCACAAGTTTCTGTCACTATTGATGAAATTGTTCTTTCTCCAAGTCTATATGAAAATCCCAGGCTGTGAAATGACTCTCCTGTAAAGATATGCAACATCTTATTATACCAATCAATATCTAAAATGATATGATTACCTCAATTTCTCCATGTAAGATTATCAGATTTATGATTGCATTCATTTTGATGATACTCAATTCAAAATGCTCATTATGATTGGCATTAAAGGTGAAATGGTTTGTGAAAGATATCAATTAGTAAGAAGTATTGTCATTATTGTTATTAAGTATTGCTACGAACTCTGTAGAAGAAACATTTAGAATATTTAAAGTTATTTTTATTATTCACAAATATATTTTTACTTTTCTCATTTGTATCCTATATTTTCTCTTTGAATCAAGCTGGCAGACTATTGTGAAATCTCACCTGTTGCTAAGTATCGTAGTGTGACTGCAAGTCTTTCTGCTGCACTAATTGATTTTCGCATGTGAGTGTCTTTTCTTTGAATCATTGGTCTTACTTTGGCA